TATATATATATATATAGAACTATTAGACTTTTGCTATAAACAAAAATACAAATGTATACACACAAATAGCAAGAGCCATAATAGTAAATGCCTTTAAGTTTGTTACTACTCTGTTTAATTAAATAAATTACTAAATTTCTGTTATGTGAAATAAATGATAAAATAGATGAGATTAATTTGTTCCTTTTTTAGATATAATTAAATTTAAAATTATTAATTAAATAGTATATATGTGTCAACATATTGAAGTGCCTCAAAAATTCAAAAAAAAAAATTATATTCAAGTGCCTAATTAGAAGATAAGAAAAAATATATTCATGATTAATTAACTTTTTGTTAAATTTTTATTTTTTTATTTTAATGAACAAATTAATTAAAATAATTTTGGTACTCTTTTTTATGTTGAAGAAAAGGGTATCATATGAACTCAGTACAAAGAACAATATATGTATTTATTATTAAATTAAATGTTTATGAAAATAATATTTTATTAATATTTTTTATTAAATAACATTTTATAGTTATTTGAATAAAAAACACAAAAGAAAGAAAACGGTGCCGTTGGTAGTCTTCCTCGCCCTTGGTTCCTTGGCATTATCAAATTGTTCCTTGCCAAAACGGAATTCGCATCCCCATATTCTCATTTTAACAATAGCCGTAAAAAACAGTGACCTGAGAGAGCAACTAAGCAACTCCGTGAAAACGCCCCCAAAAAAACAAACACGAAAAAAACTTTGATCCGCGACTGTAAGTGTTTCTAGGGTTTGTCCGTTTCTGCAAACGATGGCGATGGCTGCGCTCAGACGCGAAGGGAAGCGTTTCGCCCCTCTGATCTCTCCCCGCCCAATCACCGCCGTCGGATCCTCTCCTCTCGCTCCCACTCACGAGTACGGATCTCACTCTCTTGATGTCTCACCTTCTCATCTATCTCTATGATCTGATCGCACTTCTCCTAATTTACATTGATTTCTGCTTCAACGCTTAACAACTCTGGCAAAAGCAAAAAGGGGTTTTGATTTTTTTTGCATTTCCCCATTTTATTTGGGGGACAAATGGTGCATTTTCCTTTTTCTTTCTTGGTAACCTAACGGAGAATCTTTTCTATTTGGCTTATTTAACTGATTAGATTTTGCATTGTTGCTGTGGAAAGGAAGTTTTGTATGACACATTTTAATATTTCCTTGTTTTTTCTAATTCTGTGTATATTATTCCTTAATTTGTTTATAAAATGAATATTTTTTAAATAATTTTTAATTCTGTGTAATATTTCTCTGGTAATGGAAATGAATGCGATAATTTTTTTATGATAGTGGTTTTTTGGCCAATGCGATTGAATATGTATCTAAAATTGAGCTAACCAGTTGGTAGTGGTGCATTCAATAATTTAAATTTTCAAAAGAAGGGAAAATATATATTTGTATGTATGTGTGTGTATGTGTATACCAAATAATTAATTGAACCTCATAAGATTTATAACGAAATTTATATTTTTACAATTTTCTTTTATTCACTTTGAACTACTGAATAAATCAACTTGGATGGCAGGGATGAGGGTCCTATTGGAGTTCGATATATTTCAACTCAAGTTGGTAAGAATTGGTTCCATTTTTTTTTGTTTCTTTGTCATGTGATGTTGTACATACATGGTTGTCATGTGATCTTGATGAAAAATAAAATTTGGGTGGTGGTCTATTCATGCAGTTAGAAACAGGATGAAGAGTGTCAAGAATATTCAGAAAATCACAAAGGCTATGAAGATGGTTGCAGCCTCAAAGTTGAGAGCAATTCAAACTAAAGCTGAGGATTCCCGTGGCCTCTGGCAGCCATTTACTGCACTTCTTGGCGATACTCCCAGTATGTCCATAAACAAGCCTTTGATATGTATCAATTACTGAGCAAATTTCAGTTGAATTTCTCTGTGTTCTCATTGCACTTTGCTGAATGTTTGTTATGTGAATTGTTAATTTGTGCTGCCTTCCATTTATCTTGCATTGGTGCTCATGTTGTGAATCATATGGGGCTGTGGATTAGTTTTTATCCTACATATTCCCTCTTTATCTGGAAGGTTTACACAATTGTAAGTTTGCTATTTTATTGATAACAGAGCAATGTGAGCAGATTAGCTGCACTTTTTTAAATGTTTCTTAGGGTTGTTTGTTTGAGAACCAGGTGAGTATTTTTCCTTCTCTGTCCTAAGATTTATATATGTAGATAAATTCTAGAAGATGGATTTTGCATTGAAAATACATCATTGGTTCGGTTGATTGGCGGAGTAATCATGATTTTGATTTCTCATAAAATTATGCAGCATGGTGGTATGTGCATGGCCTTGCTCTAAAAGAATATAAACTTTAAAGAGGCTCTTGCTATTTATGGAACTGGCGCTTTATCGATAATACCTGGCTGGACTAGGTTAATTATGTAGCATTACTTGATTCAGGTTGAAATAGAGTGGTAGTCTATGGATAATAGTCAATAAATCTGAAGTTTTTAAAAAACTGGAAACTAATAGATTTTCTTGCTATATGAAGGGAAATCTTTAGCTTGACCAGTAAATATGGTTAATACTGTCAAATATGCTTTGGAAATTTGCTTAGTTAAGGTTATAGGGTTGTTGCTTATTCATTTTCTTGTTTTATCCTTCTACAATTTTGTTATATTGTATAATAGTCTTTTTGCTTCTATCAAAAGTATATTTTCTTGTCAGCCTCATTTTATAAATATGTCTTGTCGCAATGCAGGTGTTGATGTCAAGAAGAATGTTATTGTGACCGTATCTTCAGACAAAGGTCTCTGTGGTGGAATTAACTCTACATCAGTCAAGATAAGCAAGGCTCTCCACAAGTTAAACTCTGGTATATCTGCTGAGCAACTTAATATTTTTCTGCTTGTTTGTTTTTCTGATAGTTGGTGTTCTATTGGATGATTCTTATGACTTGCATATCTTTATTGCTGCAGGTCCTGAAAACGAAACAAAATATGTTGTCTTGGGAGAGAAGGCAAAGGCTCAAATGGTTCGTGACTCTAAAAAGGACATTGAGTTAATCATAACTGAGCTGCAGAAGAATCCTTTGAGCTACACTCAGGTCTGTCGTTGTGCTTTTATTTGCAATTTTCTGAGGAAAGAACCTCTTTGTACAAGTTGAAATTTTGATTGCTATATTGAATGCTTTTCTTTCTTTAAGGCTGTGTTTTGGTTATGCAGGTTGTTTTGACCTTATATCTTATGTGTCAGTGAATGCAATGTTTCTTGACTGGTTCCTTGCGATGTGGACCAGGAATTGGGGTTCTATCAAATTAAGAAAATCTGGTCATGTGGTGGGCAAGAACCTATGTTTATAGTGTTTAATTTGAAGATAGAAGATAATTAAGGGAGAAAAAGACTCCATTGTCAGGGTGAAAATAAAAAAAATAACGATTCAACCTACTTACTGGCCTGGGAAGTGAATAGTATCCTTAACTGTAATTTAAGGAGGGGTGAACCTTGGAGGTTGTTTTGGTGTGGATCTGGTTAGAATTTGATAGATGGCACTTCCAGGGATGCTTTGAGGTTGTTTATCTGTCAGAGTGTTGGAAAATAAAGAATAAGAAGAGGATAATATCTAGGCTTCTCACCAAGATCACCTTGGTCTTCACACCAGAGAGCCTCAGTGTTCCCACCAAAGGCCTTAAAGGCTTCACATATGGGGTTAGGAATTTCTTCACACAACCCTAAAGAGCATGAACAGCTGAAAAATTCACATATAGTAGTAGTACTTGAAAGAGCTAGCTATAATGTATATGTTTAGTATTTTAGTAATCCTACTTTCACAACTAGAATATCCAAAGTAAGAACTACCAAAATCGATTCAAAGAAGATCTAAACTGTGAAGGAAAACAGAATAGTGGAAGGAAACCTTAAATAGACCTTTCTACTCAAATTATAAGATTTATATAGAATATCAAGAATCACTGGAATGCCAGATTCATAAATCCAAGAAAACTTATATATATGGAATGTATGTTGTAATTCTGGCTTAAATAATGTTGTAATTCTGTCCAACATCTAACAAACACTGCAATTTCAAATTTTCTTGGAGTTGAATCTTGACTTGCCTCAACCAATTTCTTTGCTGCATCACCATCTCTTTAATCATTTTTTGTCTTCTGCTTGTAGATTGTGATTGAATGTGTTTACCATTGACCTCTTTTGATAAACTGGAATTTCCTAATCAAAATTTATCTCTTTTTGATGGACTTTTTCTATTTCTTTTTGCCATACAAATAATTGCACCTTCAGGTCTCTGTTCTTGCTGATGATATCTTAAAAAATGTGGAGTTCGACGCTTTAAGGATTGTCTTCAACAAGTTTCATTCAGTGGTTTCATTCCTGCCAACAGTGTCAACTGTATTATCACCTGAAGTGAGTGCGACAAGAATCCTTCGGCTGTATAGTTTTGCTTGTTTGCTCTCTTTTCCTGTTAAATGTTGCTCTACTCTTGTCGCTGGATTTTTATTGGTGATATGTTGATATAGATTGTTGAAAGGGAAGCTGAAGCTGGGGGAAAGCTCAGCGAACTAGACTCATATGAAATAGAAGGTGGTGAGACAAAGGGTGAAATACTTCAAAATCTGGCAGAGTTTCAGTTCTCTTGTGTAAGTCCTGCTGTTTGGAGCAGAAGTCCTTATTTCTTGTTATTCTGAATGAAAGTCCTACCATAAAGGCTTGACCTATGAATAATTGGATATAAGCATTTAATGAACAAAGCTTCCATCTTTAAAATTTGTGAATTTGACTTGAAACCCTAGGTCTAGGTCTTAGAGAGCTGTATTATGATGACAAGTACCTCTTGCTGGGTACTGCTTATCATTGAAATGATTCCTATGATTTTGGAGATAAAATAAATAATTAATTGATTAGGTTCCAATGGTTTTGATAGAGCTCTAAGTTTCACTTATTTACTAGTTTTATAGCAAATTCTGCTGAGCAGTGTTGCCGGGACAAAGGCCTTACTCTCTCTTTGTCAAATCAATCTGGATTGCCAAGTACAAAGAGTTGATAAGAGAATTTAGCACCTTTGTGCCTGTGATCTTGATTAAGGCATAAGCCACCTTATCTTATTACTAGTCAGTAATCTGTCAAAAACATAAACTTAAAATTGTCTTCTTGTTTTTTTCCCTACCTACTGGTATGTGCTGTAGTCTCTGTTATCCACCATAAAAGGATTCTCATATTTTCCCCAGGTTATGTTCAATGCGGTGTTGGAGAATGCGTGTAGTGAGCAAGGGGCAAGGATGTCTGCTATGGATAGCTCAAGCAGAAATGCTGGGGATATGCTCGATCGCCTTACTCTTACATATAACAGGTCTCTCTCCCTCGCTCCCTCCTTCCCTCCCTCTCTCACTGGCATACATGCAGACATGCACATAAGCTTTTGTTTCATGTGAATCAGTTTCTTACTTTAACTAGTATTGTTAGTCACTAATGTTGTGTGAAGCATCATTTACATGTTTTTATTCCTTTTCATAGCTGATGTATATACTCGTGTTACAGAACCCGTCAAGCTTCGATTACCACCGAGTTGATTGAGATTATATCTGGAGCATCAGCGCTGGAGGGTTAATTGCAAAATTTCTACTGCTAGATTGTTCTGATGGTGACGAATTAAAAATCTGAGTGGACACATTTTGTTTTTGAACGTTTTGTTGGGCTGCTGCAATAATGTCCCAGTGTTAAAACTTGGTTTCTGGGAATAAAAATTATTTTTATGATGTTGAGATTCATTTTCTTTAAAATTGTACTTGATTGTTGGTGGTTGGGGCTGCAACAGAGAGATTCTGTAAATCTTTATTTCAGTTATTGCCTTGCATTCCTATTGACCAAAGAGCTGCATGTTGTAATGGATAATTCATTTCATCTTTAAAGGCAAATGCTTAATGGCACAGATTTGCAGAGATGGTAATCTTTGTTAACGCATTTGTCTGACGGATTACTTACATTTTTGAGGATAGCTGGCTGATAGGCGTCCAGGAGATACAAAGGTTTCATCATGCACACGTCATTGCAAAATAATCTCCCACGTGGCAAGTTTTCAGGTCTTAAATACTTTTGATATCATACTACATTCTTAAAAGCAACAACTAAAATAATTCCTTTGGAGTATTCAAAGTCAATATATTAATTATGAATTATATAGGTTCAGCTATTTAGGTATCAATTTTATGTAATTTAAGCTTTTTTTTTTTCATTACACTATTTTCAGTATACAAATTAGTCGAATAATTAATTAATGTAAATAAATTGTTAATTTTTTTATCTGGTGTAGTCCGTTGTGTAGCAACTGTTTACCTTCGTAAGAAGTGTTACATACATGCTACTTAATAAACTAATAATTAAACCTTTTTAAAATGCAGGCTGTGCATATCTATTTCGCTGTAAGTAAAATCATAATAGAAATAGGGATATGTGATACGCAAGTAATTCTAGCTATTTGGTGTTTAAAACCGCTTTCTAATATCACCACCTTGACCTACCGTCTACCGTTTCTATACATTCAACCTACGCGAGGCATTCGGACAAGCCCAAACAAACATTGGTTCAGTTCAGTGCTCAACATTTAATATTCATATTAATTATGCAAAATGTAATTTTACATATATATGTATTGTTTGTTAATATGTAACATGAGGTCAATAATAAACTATAAATGGGTTATGCATGGTATATTGTTTAAAACTAAAGGCCTACATCTTAATGGTAGTATTGAATGGATGACATGTCTGCTTCACTAATAAACAGCTAGCATATAGGGACAAGGGAACAGAGAGAGTAAGACGAAGCAGAAGCAACAAATAATAAGGAAGAAAGTAGTAAAATAAACATGATGTTAGACCCAAAAAGGAAGTTCTTAATAAATTCAACTCCACTAACCAAAGCTAATCAAAGAATCATGTTGCTGCAATTTTCATAATGAAATTAATTTACTATGTTTGAATCAAAAACTCTGCCTCCCGGCCCAGTGCAGATATCCAAACCCTTCAAGCTGGTTGCAATCCTGGCAAGCTCTTCCTTCTCAATATAATCAGCTTTCACAATCCCCACCTCGGCAACCGTGGCGTACCCTTGCTCCATCTCACCCACACCCCTTCGTTCGGCCACTTCCATCGCAAACTCTGCCATCTTTGGAGCCAAGAACTTGCATGCACTGTCATCAAACCCTAAGCTCGAAAGCATCTTCTCAACATACAACTCGTTTTCTTCCAGGAAAATAAACGTCGTCGGGATGGCAAAGAAGGTGCAACGCTCAGGGTTGGTGATATCATCGATAAGGAATTCAAGGCCTTTCTCAGACTTGATTAGCAGTTGGTATCTCGATCGAATGCGCAACTCTATAAAACCAGAAAGATTGAAAAATGGGTATTTCCAAGTTAAGTCAGCTGCGGAGATGCTTAAGTCGCAAGCAACTGTGATTGCCATTGATGAGGCTTCGAATGCTTTTCTCTCAAAAGACTAGGGCTGTTAATCTGGCACTTACGGGGGTTTATATAATCCAAAATAGAGTAGGAAATCTAAGTCGGTGGGTGCTAAAAATTAAAACAAAACAAAAAAAAAATCTAATTTAAATTGATCCATTACATCAGAATCCAGTAGGTGGTCAATGGGATTTTTGTTGTAACATGTTTTGACAAACTCTATATATTTGATTAATATTGTTTGAAAAAGAAAATCAATTTGCATTGTCAGATTTATCAATGAAATTATAGTCTTCAACACTGAACTATATTTTAAAGGTTTATTTCTTTTATTATTCTTTTTATTTTTTTTATAAAAAAAAAACCTAGGTGAAAGCCATGCTTTGTTTTTATAATCTGTATTACATTTTATCCATCTAATTTTTCTAATTTATTTCTTCTATAGAAATATACTCTTCATAAAAAAGATACATTTTCCAATGATCATTCCTTTTAGTTTGCTATAAACTAATTTTTTGAAATATTTTTTTCCAAATTATAGGGTATGCTATTTTCTCATAGTAAATTTTTAATTTTAATTAAATTAAGAAAACAGAGATTCACATTTAAAACCTCTATCCTAGAAACAAGTGAGGATTTGCTAGTGATTTGATTTCAAAGGGAAGGTTTAGAACAATGAGTGTATTTCCTGTCCCTAATTAGAGTTACATATAGCAATAATTAGTTGCAAAGAGTTTTACTCAACAACATGCATATGAAAGATAGACCTACAATTCTACACTGTGATTTGAAATACCTTTTATTCACCAAGGTAATATAAAATGATTGTTAGTCCACAGAATTACATTACTGGAATCGCCCTGGATAATGGGTGTGGAAGTGAAGAAAAAAGGACCATTGATTATAATCATAAGGACTAGAGAATGGCATTGAGAAGCATTTTACAAATAGCATCCTGATGTGAATAAAAGAAAGAAGAAACAATATCCCTTAGAGCGACCCAATGCACTCCTCAAAGCTTGCAGCACATCATCCAAGCTCTCCATGAAAAAGTGCAGTTGAAGAAGGAATTGATCATGCCAAGTTTAGGAGGAGGTGCATTTGGTAGAGTATTTGGAGGAGCAAGACCAAATACCTTGAGAGTGCCAAGAAGAGGCATATTCAGAATGCTCTACAATATATTCCAAGACCAAATGCTATGAGTCCAATAGCAAAAGGAATGGTTTATGTAGCCCAAATTTATTAACAGAATCACAAAACCAAACTGAGTCAAGCGTAGTCTGGGATGCAGCACTCTAAGCCCATATTTTCGACTTGACTAGACTCTTTGTTTTCAAGGGTTTCGAACCCTTTATGTAATGTACAAAACTAGGACCACAAGTGCAATGCAAGATTGAAACTAAATACTCCGACATATATACACACACACACACACATACAAGTGCTTCCTTCCTTACATATATACATCCACTTGTCGCTTTTGAGGGATTTTCCTTGTATCAGATTAAAGCATAAAGAAGCTGCTGCATGCATGCTCTGCTTGCTTGCTATCAAGTCGGAACAGCTAAATTGCTGACACTCTTCTCTTACGTTCCTTTTAGATACTATTTTGTATTATAATGGGGATGTAAATAATGAGTGTCCTTGCTACGTAAGTGGGGTTGCACAATTCTGAAAGCTTACACTTGGCTCTGGTACCAGAAAAAGCGTACCCCTCAATCTTCATAAATACATATAGTGCATGTATATAATTAATTATTTGTACATATATAATCTTCATGAAATTAACCCATGCATTATTTAGAGAGAGCATAGATGTATAGAGCTGTTTAATTAATCAGTTATACAAACCAAACACAGCCCACCGCTTCACCAAGCAAGAAATCAAGAGATTAGGAGAAGATTTGGTTCTATATAAAACGTCTCAATTTCATGCATGGGTTTTCCTTGTTTTTTTATGGATTCCTCTCTAAACTCTACCTGCTCTCACTTAACCTTATATTCCCCATCTCTCCATTTCTAACAAAACCTCTTTGCCTTAAAATAACTCATCCCCAGCATCTTATTCCTACCAAACCGAAGAATATACATATTAGTATCTTCTACGCTAGCTCCTCAACTTTTTCTATCTTTTCATTCTGCACACTCAACCGCATCCAACTCCAATAAAACCAAAACACTTTCCAAAACCAAACTCATGACCTCCCATTGCTTCTCCAGCAAAAACCATGCCATTTCTTTCCTCTTATTCCTTCTGTCCCATTGATCAAATCCACTCAAACTTGACCACCCAAATCTGAAAACATCTCAGCTCGTCACTTTCTTTTCCTCCAAGGAAAAAACCAACTCCAACGCCTATACAATCATTTTAAACAACCCAACATTGTTACTCGGAGAATATAGGACAAGAGAGAAACGCAAAGCCTTCAATGGAGATGCGTAAAGGGTCTCAATCAGCTCAAAAGCACCCAGCTAACTTAGCTCTTTCACCATCTTCTTCTTCCTCCTCCTGCTCCTCTTCTAGTGCTAGCGTTGTGCCTCTTACCTGCTCTCCGGTCGAACAAACCGCACTGCCATATAGGTTGGGGAGTAGACGGATATCCGTAGTCAGCTTGTCTGACTGTGAACGGCTGAGATTTGTGGACACTGCAGGGAGCGAGTGGAGGAATGTTGAGAACCGGTTCAACCGGCTTGCCACCACCGTAAACGGGCATGAACCGGTTGTGAAGTGGTCGGATTTTGGTTCTTGCATAGGTGAGAATTACATGTAAAGCTAAATTTGTTTTGGAAAACCAATGCCTCCCAGGCTTTCACCATGCTAGCTTGCAATGTTAATGTAGCTAGCTAGCCATGACAATGCCACGTAGCAGTGCTCTCATTGCCAGCAGATGAGCATGCAGTAGTTGCTTTGGCCATGTTGCTCTTTTGGATTATATAATTGTAAAAGAATTACAAATATATACTCCTATCCTAGTTTTGTTTTTTTCCCCAAAGGATATAACTCGAAAAGTTATTTACCAGTTACGATTTACTTTCATGGTGTAGGAATGAGAGAATCACCAGAATTTGCTAACGAGCTCTTAAGAGCACTGAGAGGAAGAAGAGATTGGAAAAAGGATATCACAAAAAATGAACTTCACAATTATTGGTGTCGCATGACAGATCCCTGGTTGGATTCAAGGATAGAATTATTCTTTGACCTGTAATCATCCTCATTACATTTCCCAACAATTTTGATGTTGAATCAGATATACAGCTTACGAAAATTGAATGATCCCTTTTTGTAATTTTTCTCAGCTGTGACAGAAATATGGATGGAAGAATCGATGAGAGGGACATCAAGAAGGTGAAAACTAACAATTAATGAACTACCTCACTCTTTTAATTGTTATCGTTTATAGAAATTTGCAGCCAAGCTGAGTCTTTGTAGATTTGGACAATATATGCATAGTAAACCCTCTCACATTTCTGGACACAATTTACAGGTTATCTTGTTAAGTGCTCCCATAAATAAGTTGTCAGTAAAGCACGAGGAAGCTGAGGAACAAGCTAGTTTAATCATGGAAGTGCTTGACATTGAACACCGAGGCTATATCGAGGTATTTCCATTTCAACCTCACTCAGATTTAGTAAATGAAGAACCTTCAGGACAATCGTATCTGTCATGACTGTTCCATATGAAACAGTAAAGTGTTGCGTGGAAAGTTGCTTTTTAAAGTTTTTACTTAGCTTGTCACTGTGTTACCGAACTTATGATCCGGCATTTTTCCATAATTTTGGTAGCCATCTCAATTGGAAAGTCTCTTCAAAGTAAGCTTACCAAAGGGCTCCTCTGCAACTTCATATCAAAAGGATCAAAAACTAGAGCCGACCTCAAAGGCCGAGATCTTGTTTCGGTCCTATTGGAGACGGACATGGATAATTCTGTTTTGGTTGATAGTTTGCTTTGCGCTCTTCACATGGAAATTCATCCAATACAGACATAGAACAGCTTTCCAAGTCATGGGGTACTGTCTATCCACTGCCAAAGGAGCAGCAGAGACCCTGAAATTCAACATGGCTCTGATTCTCCTCCCTGTTTGTCGAAATACGATAACATGGCTACGCAAGAATCGTGGGTTCAACTCGGTTATTCCATTTAATGATAACATCAATTTTCACAAAGTAATTCATCATTTCAACATATAATGTTTTATGAGTCAGAATTTTTTGGAACTCCACGTATGAAATTCATGTTAACAACTTTTCTTTTTTGGTTGCTTTTGTAGCTAATTGCAGCAGGGATAGTGATTGGTGTTATCCTCCATGGCGGCACACATCTTGCATGTGATTTTCCAAGAATTAGTGGATCTGATAGTTCCACTTTTCGACAAACTATAGCAGCTAGATTTGGCTATCAGCAACCGTCATACTTCCAAATATTGGCCACAACAGAGGTTGCAACAGGAATTGCTATGGTGATATTAATGATGATAGCATTTTCACTAGCAACAAAATGGCCTCGCCGCCAGTCTCCTCCACTGCCAAGGTCGGTTCGGAAGGTCACTGGTTATAATACATTTTGGTACTCCCACCATCTATTCATTCTGGTGTATGCTTTGCTCATTGTTCACTCAATGTTCCTCTTCCTGACAGATAATCTAACTGAAAAGACGGTAAGAATGGCATGATTTTATGAGATTGCATGTAGTTAATGTTATGATCATGAATAATTGCTTTCCTAATTATTGCAACTTCATGCAAAGGACTGAAATGAAGTCACAAGATTTTCACTAGTGCCTATCACAATAAATGTCTATCTTTATAAAGTCACCAACCACAAGGTTCATGTCACTTGGATATTTATTATATTTGGTATATGGAATGCGTACTAAACTGTAGGACATGGTTTCAGTGATGAGTGACACGAAGTAAAATTAAAGGCCTGCTAATGCTGCTTGATTGATTAATGAAGTAGAATTTCTGAGCATTTAGTCCATGTAATTTCCGAATTAGTGTTTGATTAGTTATATATGACATGAGTTGCGATATTAAGAATCTTCTTTCTTAGACTTGGATATATATTGCCATACCGGTTCTATTATATGCCGGAGAGCGGATAATTCGAGCCATAAGATCAGGGTTTTGTGAGGTAGAAATTTTGAAGGTATGGTATATAACTTCATCTCAAGCTCTTTAACAATTGTCAAATGCAAAGATAACTTTATATGCATATCAATTTGATATAAGCTTCTCTCTTGTTGTTTCTAATTCTAAATACAGGTAAACCTGTATCCAGGAAAAGTGTTGTCCCTCAAATGGCGAAAACCAGAAGGTTTTATTCACAAGAGTGGCATGTACATTTTCATCCAGTGCCCTCAAATTTCACCCTTTGAATGGTAAATTTTTTGATGTATTTAATTCAATATTTTACAAAATTTTGTTTTAATGTTAGGATGAGCTAATTTGGATGATATTCCATGAACTTTTATTCTGTCTTTGTTGATTGGGAATAGCTTACTGATACTGTTCAAGATTATTTTGAATAGCAATCTGAGTAATCCTACAGTATTAATTTTTACCTTTGTTTTGTTCTCTCCCAGGCACCCATTTTCCCTAACTTGTGGACCAAAAGATGATTACTTAAGTGTGCATATCAGAACTCTTGGAGACTGGAGCTATCAGCTATACGGTCTCTTCCAGGAGGTATACATATGTGAAAAAAGCTACAGGTTCTGTATTCAAATAAGTATGCAAAAAACCTGAATGTACTATTCCTCCCGTATCTGGTTTTTCCAGGCACAAGTAACAAGACTAAAGCAATATCCCAAAATCTATATTGATGGACCTTATGGTGCGGCTTCACAAGACCACATCAAGTATGATATTGTGGTGATGGTTGGCCTTGGCATAGGAGTCACACCCTTTATTAGCATCCTCAAAGATTTTGCTAGCCGTGTCAAAAAACCAAACATTAATCATGTGGTAACTTCATCTGCAAGCTGTTGTTATGAAACACAATTCAAGTAAGCTTCTGTTCTTAGATTGACAGAAAGTGTTCTGACAATTATGTAGGCAGCCAGCGGGGAAGGCAGAATTGAGAAAGGTCCATTAAAAGCTTATCTTTATTGGGTTACAAGAGAACAAAGCTCTCTTAATTGGTTCATGGATATCATGCAGGAAATAGCAGAAACAAACCAAAAGCAGGTTAATCCCAACAGAATCCTTATTAATTCCTTATCCCCAAGTGTGTATTGAGAACAAATTCACTAACAAATTGAAATTTACTTAGATGTTCATCCTAGTGAAAATCATCCAAATCTTTTCCTCACTCCATTGTAAATTCTATAGTCTGTTGTAGAGGTATTCAATTTCCTAACCAGTGTATATCAAGAGGGAGATGCTCGGTCGGCTTTAATCAGCATTATTCAATCCCTGTATCATGCCAAGAATGGAATGGACATTGTCTCTCGAACTCCGGTGAGTATGATGCCAACCAATATTTTGTGATGTCTTATATCCATCCTAAAATGATCGATGCTAGATTGCTAGGTTGATTAGATTACCTAGGATGTTTTCTTATGCAAATACAAATAGACTTTGTAATCTCAAGTGATATACTATTCAGGTACATACCCATTTCGCTAGACCAAATTGGTTCAACATCTTCTCAAAATTGGCTCGGGGACATAGAGGAGAACGGATTGGTGAGAAAAGCTTACCTTCGCCAACAACCATCATAGAACTCTATTGTTACCATGCTATTTTTAACCATTAGCATTCTAAGGTGGGTTATTCTTCTTTACACTGTGGTTTATGAGAAGTGTGTTCGGTTTGGACAGGGGTTTTCTACTGTGGACCATTGGCATTAGCAAGAGAATTGGAGAGGCTGTGCACCAAATTCTCCACCAAAACCACTACAAGATTTGTATTTCATAAGGAGAACTACTAGTAGATCTTTCTGTTTTCAAACTTCTATCATCTCCACAACAGGAAATGGCACAACCCTTTTAGTGTTGTATGGTGTGTTGGCTTTTCAAAGGCAGGCCAAGTTGAACATGAAATGAAGCAATAGAAAAGAAGAAAAAACATGTTATGTATATTGAAATCCATGCATTTGGCATCTAGAAGCAATGGAATTGCAAAGTGCAAAGTAATTTAAAAGCTTAATTAAATGTAGATAGAAACTGCAAGCTTAGGAAAGATAGATCCCTCTTATCTTAAAGAGATGATTTTCCTTGCACTGCATCATAGGACTTAGGTGGTTCCCTCTGTTTGTTCCTCCTCGCTAACTTCGTCTCCAAGTTTTTTCCCTCTCCCAGTTAGCTACCCTTTCGCTTTCTACCATCAGCATCTCAACCATCTCCCTTGACTTTTGTGTACATAACATAGCCTCTTTTTAATGCATTCTGTTTAAAAGATACGAGAGGGAGCAATTATCTGTTCCACAAATCTAATACCCAAAATTCCTCTGCCTCTATGCTCCTGTTGTCATCAAATGCATCGTGACATGAAATTGTGTAACAATCATCTCCAAATTTTATCGGACTAATGAAATGGTTTCAAAATGGGTATAATATGATTGTTTTTAAAATTTTATTTATTTCTATAAAGAAAAAAATTACAGATAATAAATTTTGAAAATATAATAAACTACAATAATTAATTGTGTTTAGATTGACAAAAATAATCCAATAAGCATCCAATCTGTGTAAAACAAGATTACTAACCTTTTATAAAATTTTTGTAAAATAAAATAGTATTTTTTCTGTAACAAAATAGTAAAAAAAAAGTTTGAAAAATATTACGAAAGAAATAAAAGATTTTTTGAAGTTGATTCTTTTTATTCTTTAGAACCAAAGGAAAATCTATTTATAAGCATAAATATTTATCCCTTAGGTACAATTAACAGTTAATTTAAATTAAAAAAAAATTAAATTTAAACACGGTTTGAAAAAACTCTAATTTACACTTTAACTTATTTTAATCCAATCATTATAAATTTATTATCCTCTTTATTTAAAAATCTCTTTCTTCTTTACTTCCTTTAATGGACGTGGATACACGTAGTATTATTAAAAATGTCCAACATGTACGACATAATTGTATAAATTAAAATATTAAACTAACTTTTTGTGTTTTATTACTCATTTTTCAACCACAATATTATAGTAAAATTCAATAGAATCATTTACACGGTTAGTTGATGCTACTGATTCATTTCAAGTCATCCTCGTACAAATTCCTTAGCTTATTCTGTATCTGAACTTCTTTAGGTTGGAGCAAGGATAGTTTACCTGTTCGCTCCATGGCCAATTTCGTGGTTGATGCAAGCCTTTGGGCTATGTCTCATCAAAATGATAGTGCCCCTTTAGGAATAAAGTATAACTCTGCCAATTCTGGCTTTTCTTTTGTAGAAATAAACTAGTTTTTACCTTTTAAAGACTCAAATAAATCATAAAAAGGAAAAGGAAAAGACCATAGAAAGGGTTCGGTCTTCACCAACCACGAGTGGGGGGTGTGTAAATTACCCTGAACCGGGAATCTTTTTGGGTAATTTCGATTATGGTAGTTGGGGGAGGGAGTGCGCACCGAGAGCAAAGAGAGAAGCTCCAACAACTTGAAAATATAACAGAGAGGAGAGATCCGAAAACAGGGAATCAAAGAGAAAGCTGCCACCATTCACCAACAAAGGTTTCGATAGCTAAGCATCTTTTTTATCTCTAAAGGATAGCAGTAAGCTTCGCTTTTCCACCTTTTCCTTTTTGGGTTCTTCATTTTGTTACATTCTGCATGTATTTTTCATGTTTTCTAGTTTGCCTTCTTTCTTTTCCCTTCATTTATGGTGATAATTCCCTTCTCTGTTTCCTTTGTTTTGCTTGCGGAGAAAATGAGAGGATTAGCTTTATTGTACTTGCAAAATCTCTGAATCTGGGTTGTTGTTTTATATGATGAAATCATTCCATGCCTCCCTAAATGTGTTTCTTTTGTATTCTTTTTTTCGTAATTGTACGATGACGAACTTTTTTATTGAAATGGGTTATTATGATTCTGCTGAATATGGCGAGTTTGGCATGTTATCTGATTTAAGTTTTGATTTTTGATGGTATTGGAGGATTTTGCTGTACTATTTTGAATTGTTGGAAACAGGTCATTTTGATGGAAGGCTTGGCGGCTTCACGAATCATCTCAATTCAAGCTTCTTGTAGACGGCATTACTCTGCTTTTCTCCCTACTTTTTCCTTGCAGTTACGGAAAATCTCGAATAGAGGTCAAGTTTGGATGATGAAACGTCCTAAGTCGTTGGAGTTGATTGCCGCTTCAGTTCAACCATTAGAAGCCTCAACTACTGGCCACTTTGATAATATGCAGCCTTCAAAAGGTTTTATTTTTTGTAGTTCTAGTGATCTTATATTGCTTTAGTTGAGTTCCAACGGTTTTGGATAGAAAGTAGGAAATTGGCTTAAATTTAAGCTTATAATGGTTTTTGAATTTTATGGACTTCAATGATGAATGCTTGGTCAGTTTTTAATTAACTTTTCAATGTCTTTTAGTGGTACGGTGATTGCCTTTATTGATACTTGCCTTTATTACATTATAGAGGTACTTGAGCTGTGGAGAAGTGCTGATGCAGTGTGCTTTGATGTGGATAGCACTGTGTGCATAGATGAGGGAATAGATGAACTTGCAGAATTTTGTGGGGCTGGAAAGGCTGTTGCAGAATGGACTGCAAGGTTGGTTGTCCAATTCATTTTGCATACTTCAATTCCGTTAATGTTGTAGAGCTTAGATAGTTGATTCTGGTTTTGGTTTGCTAGAGCGATGGGTGGTTCTGTTCCTTTTGAGGAGGCCTTGGCTGCCAGATTGTCTTTGTTCAAACCTTCCGTGGCTCATGTCCAGGATTTTCTTGAGCAAAGGCCACCAAGGTATGAGGCTTGTACTTCACTGTCTTGTTTATAACTTGTTATGTTCAACATATGACTAGGATGTTTGGGTAGTTTGTGGAGTTGAATTAGTACATTCTGCCAAGAAGCCATGATTTGCTTGAACCTAACAGTGTTCATGCTGCAATATGTTGAGTATTTGCATTTAATATTTTCACATCATTTTATTTTATATTATGTTTAGTTCTAAAGTTTGAGGCTGACTTGACAAGCAAAACAAGTTTCATTTTAGCTCCTACATTATTTTAATGTTGTTACACTATAATAAAACAAAATTCTGGAGCTGCTATTTCGTCGAATAACATTGCTTCTAAAACATCCATCTTAACCTTTAACCAAGATCCTAGATATTTCGGCACCCTAAACCTCACCATCTAAGCAAGGCAAATAAAATTAATTTCTAGTCTCCTTTTTTCTCCTTCTTTTTTAATATTAAGATGATGTTAAGAAATAACAGGACCTGTACTTCTCAGTTTTTGATTTGATCATCATGTCATAGTCATTATTTGTGTAAATTTCAGATTAACTGTGTAATAATTTGTAATTTAAATTAAATTCGAGAAAAAAATTTAAATTTAAATTTGCCCCTTGCATAAGGGCATTCTGGATATTGATAAAGCAACATGTACCAATACTCTAAACCAAACTATGATGTTCTCTAGAAAATTGTTACTGAAAAATAATGGTAGAAGGGTATCAACTCCTCGATGAATAAACCATTTTGAGTTGTCTTTTTTATTTTTTTTGTTACAATATTCCTTTTGTGTTTGTCTTAGTTTTTTTCTTCTCTATAACCTGATGATTGCCAAATAATTCATAAGTTATTCTGAAAAAGAGCCATACTCATTTTTCTTCCTACTGATCTGCAGGATTTCTCCTGGCATAGAAGAATTAGTCAAGAAGCTGAAGGCTACAAATACCAATGTTTATCTAATCTCTGGGGGCTTCCGCCAAATGATCAATGTATGCTACTATGCTGGAAAACACTGGAAAGATCATTTATATTTTTTCTTATTTTTGATAAGGCATTCATGTGGATTTTTGTTTTTCCAATTAACTTTGATCAACCGATTTTTTTATTGTATTGAATAATGAAGTTGGAACTTGAGAAACTGGAGAACATGAGGCTCATGCCAAACAATTTAATGCAAATTGGCAATCCTTACATGACATTAGGTCCTATACAGACAGCAGATGATGACATGGGAACAACCAACTCAATTAAAGACTATTTAAGCATGATACTCTTTCTGGAAAGAGATCCATGATTTCTTGTTCTTTAATTCTTTAAACATGTTGAAGCTGAATGAAAATGGTTAAAAGAAAATGCTCAGCCTGAATACTTAAATGCCTTCATTTATAATGCATAGATGGGTAATGTTATTCTACTACCACACAATGTGGCAAAGGAGATCATTTTCTGCTTTATCAGTTTAGAGTTAGTATTCAGCATGTAGGCTCGTTACTATTGGAAGAGGCATGTCATTAGATAGTAAGATAATCTTCACAATTATTAATGGAATACTCCTGCCAGAAGATGGTTAATTGAGAAAGTTTGTTTGTAGCCTGTTGCATCAATCCTTGGAATTCCACAAGAAAACATTTTTGCCAATAACCTGCTCTTTGGAAGTTCTGGGGAGTTTCTCGGTTTTGATGCTAATGAGCCTACTTCAAGGAGTGGAGGAAAAGCCGCTGCTGTTCAACAAATAAGAAAGGTGAGTCCTGTGGCTGTTTTTTGCATTGGCTGGCTAAAAATTACATTACTAAGTCGATTAAAGTAATTTTCCAGGCTCAGGGATATGAGGTCTTAGTCATGATTGGTGATGGTGCTACTGATCTTGAGGTTAGTAAATTCATCCGAATTTCTTCTAAATATAGTTAATCTTTATTTAAGGGTTGGGTGAAGTTCATAATTTTTTTCCCCAATAACCTTTCCTCTGTGTGACATTTTTGTGCCCCGTTTAGAGAGGAAGATCACTTTATTTTCAATATGCTTTAAAGGGCTTTATGAAAATTTTCAAATATATCTCTGTATGTGTGTGGAAAGAAGGAGAGTGCAGAAAAACTAAAAGGTCATAAGTTTTTTTTTTTTTCTCTTATTTAGAGGAAGGGGGGTGTGGAATGTAAC